GGGGAACCGGTGAGGATCGCTTTGCAACCTGTCAACAGTAGCACTACTTCCTAATTTGCCAACAATGCTTGAAAACTTGTGTTGGCAGTGATAAACCATAGGCTTTTGGCGAGTGGCACCTGTCTTAAGCCCTTGCTTCCCTCCACCCACTAATTTCTAACATTTTCACCATATTCTAAATAATTCCACATTACCTACCGCCCTCACTCACTAACTGGCTTTGCCCTCGTTTTCCCTCCATCAGTTTACTCTTTATAAGACCCTTTCGAAAACTTTGGGGGTTCTTAGGCTGGAAATCAACGCGTGCCACTGTTCTGTCACGTCTTGCTGCTACGACCAACGCTGCTATCTCTGCTACTACTACTACCAGTGCTACAGCTAATGCTACTAACTGGCCGTCTCCATACAACTAATGTTCTCCTTCCGTTGGATAGTTTGCGCGAAGGTCCGGCTCGTTATTTTCTAGAAATGAAGCTTTGTAGTACATAGAGCGCCTGGAACCACTATTGTTCCAAAGTTAATTATAGTCGATAGGCTCTAACGAGATTTGTGGACCCTTATGTATATATACATATAGACTAATTAATTGATTGTATAGTTGTTTTTTTGTTTTCAGGCGGTAATATCGTGGATTCAAAGAAATCGTCATTCGATTTCCTTTGGGCCTTTTTCGCTTTTATTTTATTTTTGTAAGTTTACTGTTTTTTCGTACATTCAAAAGCCGTCGAAACATATATTTTCTACATTTTTATAAAATCAGTAACGATCAATTATACACTTTCTGTAGTCTCTAGTTTAGCTTTCTCGACAGACGTTGTTTGCGAGTTGAATAGTACATTGATGAGTTACATCTCTACATTTTTTCCGCTTAAGCCTGTCTAGCTCAAATAACCCAAGTCCAGCATGAGATGCTCGTGCCGTTTAAAACTTCTGATTTTGGTGATTTGAATATTTTATGGAATTATGAAAAAGGTTGCAACTAAAAAGGGAAATAATAAAAATTAAATGTAAAAATTGAATTGAAATGTTTCGCTCCATTAAGTTCCATACATTTCCGTTCTGTGCTGATACCTCATACTCTCTGGCTGTCCTATGTTGTAAATTCGCTGTAACATCTGCCCAAAACTCGCGTTTACTAATAACGTGCTCCACAAGTGTGATTGAAATCCGATTTCACGAGCATTTTCTTTCTGATGGAGCACCTTTTTCGATATTGCTTGTGAGATAGGCGAAAAGTGTATGGACAGAAAACAGGTGGTTGCTGCTGGAGTGATAGTGGTCGTTGGCCGGGGATGATGAATCTCGCGGGCTCCAAAATATCAGTTTTTTACCGAAGCAAAATGTGGAAAGATATGATTCCCTAGGTATGTGGGTTGAGGGGCATACGGATCACCACTCCGCGTCTACTCGCTGAAAATATTATTGC